AACTCCAGTTCCAGGGAATTCAATGCCCTCTTCTGACCTCCATGGTAGTGCATGACACAGGTGTACTTAAAAACATGCAGGCAAAACACTCATACATATATAATGAAAATAAATAAATACAAAAAAAATCAAACTACATTATATAAATAATGCATGAAAATTTTCAAATATTAAAAAAACGTTTAAAAGGAAAATGAAGCTCTCTGGGGCTACAGAGAGACCCTGTCTCCAAAAAGACAAAAAGAAAGTTTAAATGCTAAGAAAAAATTCTTAATTAAAAAAGAAAGAAAATGAACAAAAACAAATGCTTCTGAGTATGTGAGGAAATTGGAAACTTACTGCTGGTGGGAATGTAAACTTGTACAGTGATTACAGAAATCACTATGGCGGTTTCTCAAAAACTACAATTAGCATTACTATAGGACCCAGCTCTATCACCCCTGCGCACACACCCAAAACACTCTACAATCTGTCACAGATACGTCACATCTATGTATATTGCTGCACTATTCACGATAGCCTAGAGGTTCATTATCCAGATAAGTGAATAAAGGAAAATGTGTGTACGCGTGTATAATGATGCTTGCAGTGCTCTGAATCCACCCCACACACCATGACTGATTGGCACATAAACAAGCAATGATCAGCATTGATGGGCTGGAGGACAGAGCTACCAAGCCAACTCCCTAGACAGAGAAGTATTGTAACCAGCAAATCCAGGGCTTAGGATACATCCCACAAAAGGTCACAAATTCTCTGATGAATTCCCTGGGTGTGAGTAATACACCCCTTTTCTATACTTGGCCCAAATACAGACATAGGACATAAAAACATACATGTACTTGTCTGGAGACTTGAGATCAAGTGTTTGGCTGTTGAAACGAGTAGCCCCCTTCCCCATTTAGCACACAGAGAGGGAGGCACTGAGAGAGATCTTGAAGAAACACAGCTGATAATATAATGGCATCAGTCAAACAAAAAGTCCTTTTATGAAAATGTGTCTCAGTAGTATAGCTTTCTAATTAGGAAATAGAAAAAATGCTCATAAAAAGAGTTAGGGGCTGGACAGATGAGCCAGGGGTCAAGAGCACTGGATGCTCTTGCAGAGGCCTGAATTTGGTTCCTAGCACCCACATGGCAGTTAACACCCATCCATCATAACTCCAGTTCCAGGGGCTCTAATGCCGTCTTCTGGCATCTGTGGGCATTGCATACACATGGTACACCTGCACACCTGCAGGCAAAAGATTCACGCACAGAAAATAAAAATAAATGGATTTTTTAGAAAAGACTTTCAGTGCAAAGACCATACTCTTCGTGAAGAGGTGGGCAGCTCAGAAACAATCACTTTGTTGCTGTTTCCACAGCATTCCAGTCCAAATTCAAACTGTCACTAATAAGACAAAAGAAACAGCACTGAGTATGGCTCTGTACCCAGACGTTCACACACATGAAAAATCAATTTTCTTCTATAAAGATCCAAGATAGTCAAAGATCTAAACAGGAGAAAAAAAAATCTGTGCAATTTTCAACTCAGATAGTTTCAACCGAGTTGGGTGGGTATCAAAGTAAATACTTGGGAAGTTAGTGCACGGCATGCAAAACCATCATTGACCTCGGAACTGCAAACTGTCCTAAAGTCCAACCAAGGGAAGTAAGAATGCTCATGAGAGTCAGGATCCAAGCTCTTCTGGTGTGACCCAATCCCCATACCTACAAAGAGACTCGCTCTTTACAAAAAATCAGACTTCAAAAGAACTGCAAAACTGAAAACTTTAAGAAGGCATGTCCCAGACCTGGAGAGATGCTCAGCAGTTAAGAGCACTTGCTGCTCTTGCAGAGAGCCTAGGTTCAGTTCCCAGCATCCACACGGTGGCTCACAACTGTCCATAACTCCACTTCCAAGGGATCCCATACCATCTTCTGACCGCCACAGATTATATGCGTGTGATATATAAAAACTCACCGAGGCATTCATTCATAAAACTAAAAAATACCTGTCCTTTGGCAACTCTTAGATTAAAGGGATTTTAACTTTGTTTCTATTGTAATTATTTTTAATAAACTCCATGAGCAAGACAAAATGACTTGTCAAATGTAATGAAATGACACAGAATCAACAGGATCAACAGACTTGCGATAGTTATGGGAAAGCTGGAATATGCTCATAGCCCAAAAATTTTTAATGAATAAACTACAGTGGAGTGGGGGGGGGGCACTAAGGTTCAGAGAAAAAGAGGAAGGCAAGAACTCAAAGGTACAGACAGGAGGACACTGACAGAATTACAGGAGAGGCTACGGCACCATGTGGTCACTATAGAAAATGGCGAAACGGACACCTGAGATTTCCACACATTACATGCATGTATTAAAATTAGAAGACACATATCTAATCAAGGTCTTGTTTGAAGGGGAGAAGCGTTCTGGAGAGAGAACTCACAACATCATGTATGTCAGGTAACTGCTCTTCCACTGAGCTACATCCCCAGCCCCAACATCTTCATTTTTTTAATCTGCAGAAAGCTTTAATGCTATGATTCTGTTCAAAAAATTTGAAGTAAGAAAAAAATAGCCTGATAAAAGAAAAATGAAGTAACCGAGTGATGCTTTTAACAACGGCTAACAAGAGATTTAGAGCAGCTCAGCAGCTGATGGTGTATTTGTAAACCTGACATCTACTCTGGAGTTCTCACCACACACATGAGACAGTACATCAGATGTGTGCTGAGGTGACTTGCAAACATCTGAAAAGCCTTGACACAAGAAGTGAAGCTTAAGGGGTATCCTTCTGAAAACTGCCAGAGACTATGGCCGTACCACTCTGAAAGCGGCTGATCTTGGCTGAAAACTCACCAGACATGAATAAATGAGAACTGAGAGATGAGACCCAGCACGATAAACTGCGGATTCACAACGGGACACTCGGCATTCTCCAATTTTTCACACCAGCCTTGTTCTTACCAAGTTTCATGAAATACTCAGAATCCTGGGAGAAGGGTCCAGAAGGAACATAGAGAGGAAAGTTTGAAGAGACTTCCTTTCATAAGCTCCTTTCCTGTGAGCACCTTCCTGAGAACTCTCCAGGTAAACTATCCCAGATGACCCGCCAATTTTCCTATGTGACATTTAAACACTTCAGGATAAGGAAAAAAAGTGAGACAAAGAACAACAAAAACCAAGTCAAGTCCTTGAGACCAAAAGGCAAAACGATGACCCCATTTCAACCAGGCAGATGTAGCACCTCAGCCAACATCTACAGAAAACTGACAGACCCCAGGAGACCAGAGGGGGCACGTTAAAGACACTCAACAACATTGTCCTAGAGCCCAGTACTCCTGTCCTGTCTGGTCTTTCAACCAAAATAAAAGCCCCAAACAAACTAGAATAGTCTTATAAATCATTAGGGAAAAGTACCAGGGGCTGAGGGTCAACTGAAAGTCCACGAAGCCTTCATTTCAGAAGCAACCAAGAGTTGCTCTAACTCATCATGTGCCCCGGTAAAAGCTGTATTCGGAACACTTCTTCCAAACAGCCAGAAGGACAGGAAACCGTTGCTTCAGCTCCCTCCGTACCTCGAGGAGCCTTCCCAGGGATAGGCCACTCCTCAGCAACAAGTGTTTGGGAGTGTTCCCACCAAGGGTCACCATTGGGGCATCAGATCCCACCCTCCTCCCTTCCTCTCCGCTCCCATATCCTTTCATAGGATGTCCTTGTGAGCTAACTCAGTTCCATTTCTGCTGTACTCTGGACAGCCTCTTCCGAGATACATTTACAGCTCCCGTTCCTGCCGCATTATGTTAAGCATCATGGCCACAGTGTACACAGAAATCACTACCTGGCGAATACTATGCTCTCTTTGAAGTTCCTTGACTGTATTGGTAATTTCCATGAAAACAAAAAGTTGACCAGATCCATACGGTTCCTTCTCTCTTTTTATCCCAATTTTCTTTGGGAGTTTGTCTCCGAATTTCCACTATCACCTAATGCCCCCGTAGGCATCACAGTTACAGCATAGATTCTGTAGAAAGCAGAGGCCTGCAAGACTTCTAGGTATCTACGTAACATTCTTGAACTCTCCACTATCTCCTCCAAATAAATCTTTGCCTCTGTCCCCCTCCCCAGCCCTCCACTACCTTTCTCTGTATGCTGTAATCACTACCAAATTGCTCACAGCTCTAGCCTAGGTTCATTTTTGTTGCTGGAATAAAATGCCCTGGCAAAGGGCAACATAGGAGAAGAAGGGTTTGTTTAGCTTACAGTTCCAGGTTACAACCCATCACAGTGGAAGGGTCAAGGCAGCAGGAACTTAACGCTAATCACATCATATCCACAGTCCACAGCAGAGGAATGAATGCACGCACACTTCCAGCACGCCGCTCGTCTTCTCCACTCACACGCAGTCTGGGACCCAAGCCCAGAGAAATGACACCACCCACTTTTAGAATGGGTCATCCCATATCAATTAATATAATCAAAACAACCTCCCCCATACACAGAACGCCTACAGACCAACCTGATCTAGACAATCCCTTACTGAAATTCTAAATCGTGTCAAATTGACCATTAAACTAACCATACGCTCTCAGGATTTTCTTGTTTCTGTGACACAATGCATTAAATTCCTTCTGATGAGAACACCTTCCCTTCCCTATTCCCCTTAGTTTGGAAAATATCCTTCATGGTCTCAGATCAGGGTTTATCTCCTCCAGAAAATATCTATGTGAATGCTTTTCCTCCAAACACCCTAAGCAAGTCTTCAACCATGGTCTTGGCAGATTGTAATACCATTCTATAGATGTTGGCTGCATGGACTCCCTACTAGACTAGGAGCCCAGGGAGGGCCAGGGTTGTGAGGTAGCCATCTTGATCTTCAGGATGGAGAACATAGTCCATGGATGCTTTGGAATGAGCATGTGTGTGATGGATCAAACCCCATGAAGGAAACTCATGAGAATGAATCATCTTTCCACCCCAGCCCCTGGGAGATGAGGTTCTCTTACCACTGTGAGGTAAAGTCAACAAAGTCTGCGGAGAACTTGTCTGCTGGGAGTTGTGGTGATGGCTCTTCAACGACTTGTTTGAGCTGCTGGAACGGAGTCCCCCAGGAATCGTAGGGAAAACGAAGGATAGCCAGCTCAATCTAGAAGGTAAACAGGGCGGGCAAAGTGTTTAGAAATGCTTTTTAGTAATCAGCTGTGCCTCGTTTGAGGCGCACCAGAGGTGATGCTCAAGGGGAGAAAAATAAACTAGTAATTGTTCTCTATCAAGTTTTCGTGCTGGTGCTTTTGTAAGCATTACCTTCCTAGGGATAGCCGTTTAAACCTACCTAAATAAACTAGTCCCTTGATAAAACCCAACATGAAATGTCATAAAAATTATAAGCCAAAGACATTAAAGTTCAAGACACAAAGCAGACCAGGTTTAAGACATTCAGCCCGAAAAGAGGTATGTGAAGACGTTGGCAGAGATATGCTTCTGCTGCCACCTACAGGGCCCTGGGTGAAATGGAAAATTAAAAAAAAAAAAAAAGTAACCTAGGACCAAATGACTGATCTTTTTTTGGACTTGAGTAAAGGCCACTTTGCTGTTACAGGATCACATGTTTTCTGGGCAGGGACGTGGAATAACTCATAGGATTTAATCAGCTGCTGTTCCTGGACAGGAGCCAGGGACACAGTAGATAATTCCAGACCTTGGTGATACACTGAAAATTTATGATCACCAAAGCTACGAATAAGACACTGATTGGAAGCCCATAGGACTGTGTGAAGGAAAGTATCCTATTGGTTACTGTGGTTTTTTAGAACCTATTTGACTTCATCAGCCAAAACTTCTACCATGAAAATGTTCAGTGCAGGGCTGGAGATGTAGCTTGGGTGACCGAGTGCTTGTACAGTATCTATGAAGCCCTGGGTTCCATCCAGCATGGTATAAAACTAAGTACAGTGGTGCACACCTATAATCCCAGCACTAAGGAGGTAGAGGCAGGAGGACCAGAAGCTGAAGCTTATCCTGGGCTATATAGAGATTTTTGAGGGCACCCTGGTCCCCGTAAGAGTTTGTCTCAAAAAAAAAAAAAAAAAAAATCCAAGCAGCAGGAGAGATGGCTCTGAAATTAAGAGCACTGACTACTCTTGCAGATGACCCAAATTCAGTTCCAAGCACCCTCATAGCAGCTAACAATTGTCTATAGCTCCAGTTCCAGGGGATTCGACACCCTCTCCTGGCTTCCACAGGCACTCACTGTACACGTGCATTTATATACATGCAGGCAAAACAGTTGTACCATAAAACGTAATTTTTTTTAATCCAGCCTAGTGCATTTGACGTGTCAGGGTCCACACACATTAGACTTCTTTGTGCAACTTAAGTTTCTTGTCTTGATAAGAATAATTAAATTGAAACTATAAGGAACCTATTAAACCCCTCTATCAGAAAGATAGTCCATTGGACTATAAAAGTTTTTTAAGGGCATATAACTAGTAAAAAATAAAATAAAGAAAAATTTGTATTGCCCAACCCCGTAGTAGGGCTTTCACTACACTGCACGCTAACAATTAGCCCTCAAAAACCACCTGCCATCTCCACAGGAAAGGGTGTCCAAGAGCAACAGCAAAGGTATTCGCTTCTCAGTCCCAAAGCCCACCCCACTCCAGGTTCCTGCTCAAAACCTCATAGCCCATAATGATGATCATAGGTTACCATGGTGATGCCCAGACTCCAAATGTCCGACTTCACACTGTACCCCTTCTGGTTAAGCTCTGGGTTTATTCTTTCAGGCTGGAAAGGAGACAGACAACTGAGAAACCAGAAAGACAATGGCGATGCCATTTGTAGCCCAATAAACACTCTGGGAGTGCAGACAGCGCCACTTGCTACTGGAATTATCTGATAATGTGCTTCCCAGGCCAAAAGACCTGCTAGCTACAATATAAGAAATGTCTCCATGAGGAATTCCTCCTTCTACGGCTGAGCATCGCATGACACAGGTGCACTTACATACATGCAGGCATGACACTCATAAAATTTAATATAATTTTGTAAGTACAAAGATTTAAAAAATAAATAAAATAAAAATAGCAACAGTAGGCTGGCCATGGTGGCTCACACCTTTAGTCCCAGCACTTGGAAGGCAGGGGCAGTTGGAGCTCTGTGAGATCCAGGCCAGCCTGGTCTACATAGTGTGTTCCAGGCCAGCTGGGGTTACAGGAAAACCCTGTCTCAAAAAACCAAAAATAATAATAACAATAAATAATATCTCTGACTTAATTTTGGAAGGTAATATATATGCTGTGGTCTGCATGTTTATATTCCCCCAAAATGCACATGTTAAAACTTAATCTCACATGTGACCATAACAGGACATCGTGTCTTTATAAGACAGTATGGCTTTAGGGTAGATTTCTCATAGACGAGGCTTGTACCCTCACAAAAGAAGCTGTAGAAAGAGGCCCTGCTCCTTCCACTGTGTGAGGGAACAGCAGGATGTCAGAAAGGTAGCCCTCACCAGACACTGAATCTTCTAGCGCTTTGACCTTGGATTTCCCAGAGTGAAAAACTCCAAGGAGTAAGTCTATGGCCATAAGCTTGCAGCTTCTGGTATTTTGCTATAGAAGCCCCAAGATGAAGATAATATATAGAACAAGTGACTGAGGATTTCCAACAGAAGATCTTGGTTAAGAAAATAACATGATGCTGGGGTCTGGAGAGATGGCTCAGCGGTTAAGAGCACTGGCTGTTCTTTCAGAGAACCCAGGTCTGTTTCCCAGCACCCACACGGCAGCTAACAACCATCTGTAACTCCAGTTCCAGAGGATCCTTCATCCTCTTCTGGCCTCTTGCGGCACGGCACAGGTGTGGTGCACTTACATCCTTGAAGGCAGAACACTCATACACATAAAATAGAAATAGATGTATAATTTTTTTTACAAAGAAATAACATGATGCAGAACACTTCTTGAATCTCAGGCTTATTCCAATCTTCCCTCCGTGGACGTCCATTTCCTATTTTATGGCCTGATTTTGCAGGCAGGCACATACACAGACAACTACCCCTTGCCCCCTCCCCCACCCCTCCCCAACTGTACTTACTGCCATGTATGGTTTGCAACCTGCGTCAATGGTTTTCGCAACAGAGTCCACCAGGTAACCACTGATTCCAAAGTCACACATCTTCACTTGACCCACAGTATTAATGAGCACATTAGAGGGTTTGACATCTGTAAGCAAAAGCAACCACATCATTCCAGCCTCCTGTGATTCACTTCGCTCCCACTAGAGGGCGCGGAAGGCTCCAGCCTACGGTTTGTTTCCCAAGTTGCCCAACACAAGTCACCCTCATCCCTGACTCACAGCTACTACATAAGGGCTTTTTGTTTTCAACTTGATTTAAATTCTTCTTATTTTGCCTGTTTCTTGCTGTATTGTGAATCCCCAGATGGAACGATCTGTTTCCTCTGCTTGTCCCCACACATGTAGTAAGAACTCACAAAACTATTACCAAATCAAATGCCCCATTCAAAGTGCAGCTGGGGCTGCAGGATGGCTCGGTGGGCAAAACCTTGTCGAGTAAGCATGAGGACCCGGGTTCAAATACCTATCACTCTTGTAAAAAAAAAAAAAAAACTGGCACATGGTGAGCTTCTGTAATCCCAGAATCTTGATGAGGAGATGGGAGGTGGAAACGGGAAACCCCAAAGCTTCTGAGTCAGCTACCCTGGGGTACACGGCAATAGAATAAAATACGCTGTCTTGAACAAGGCAGGAGAGAAGGCAAGGACCAGCGCTCAAGGTGAGACTGCCCTCTAAGGTTCGTCTCTCACACACACAGACATGTCTCACACACCCACACTTATTTCAAAAAGTGATTTATAGAATATTTAGTGTGAATAAAAGGTTAAAGAATGGAAAGGAAGACTGTTACACATGATACATCAAGGCTTGCCTCAGGAACCCATTTGAAACCTCTACAAAAGATTTGTCTGGGCAGAGTTCACTATAGCGCAAAATGTTATAAACACAGGTATGCCAGGACCCTGGGCAGGTCACCGAAGACAGGGTGTTGAGTGAACCATTCAGTTTAGAAAGATATAACCCACCCACCAACATGCCCCAAAAGGTGAACCATCCTTATCTCGGTGTGATAGAATTACAAAGTATAGCTCGCTTTCCCCCTTTGTGACACTTTTCACAAAGGCTAGAGAATAAAAAGAACATACGTATTCTAAAGCTATTCCTTCGCTAGGCATGGTGACATAAACCTATAATCCCAGCACTTGGGGAGTGGAGGCAGGAGGATCAAGAGTTCAAAGCCAGCTAGATACTGAATTTGAGGCCAGCCAGTGCTGCACGAGACCCTATCCGAAAAAGCTATTCTTTTATAATTTTCTCTTAAACTTGCTGAACTACCAAATGTCCTTTAATTTCTGTATTTCTATATACTCTGTAGTGAAAATTGACGATTTTGAAAAGAGGAACTTGAAATCACTTCAACTATAATCTGCACGCGTTTCCCATCGTTTGGTCCACTTCCTTCCTATAATCTACTCTTAGCTATTTGTCCAGTTTTAATGCTATCATTTAATGCTAATAACAACTACACTACATTCCTTGTACATTACATTCAGACTCACGGAATTTAAGAACTACCCTAAACATAATACCCCGTTAGTTATCCACACTAGCCACTAATTTTCTCCAGGGTATCTCTTCTAAGAAGCTTTCCCTATGATCACCCAGTAATAATCAATTGCTCATTTTATTTCAGCTATTTCCATATTTAGACCTTTTCTATTTCTAAAGTATTGAAGTTTATACTTATTTCTTTACCTAGAATTCCTAGATAGAATTTGTTAACATTTTTATTAATTCTTTAAAATTTTCATACAATGTATTTTGATCACATTCTGACCCCTCCCCTATCTCCACCCCCATCTTACTACCCTCCAACTTCATGTCCTCTATTATTGTTTTTTAAAGGCCTATCGAGTGAGTCTAATTTGTATTTCTCAAATGCTTTTGAGTATGGATCCATCCCCTGGAGCCTGGTCAACCTACCCAGTGTCACACCATCAAAGAAAATTCCTCTCTCTCTCTCTCTCTCTCTCTCTCTCTCTCTCTCTATCCCTCTCTCTCTCGCTCTCTCACTCTCTCGCTCTCACTATATCTCTCTCTCACTTGCTCTCTCGCTCTCTCGCTCTCTCGCTCTCACTCACTCTCTTGCTCTCTCTCTCTCTCGCTTGCTCTCTCGCTCTCTCTCTTGCTCGCTCACTCTCTCTCTCGCTCTTTCTCTCTCGCTCTCTCTCTCTCACTCTCACTCTCACTATCTCTCGCTCTCTCGCTTGTTCTCTAGCTCTCTCACTCTCTCACTATCTCTTGCTCTCTCTCTCGCTCTCTCGCTCTCTATCACTCTCTCGCTCTCTCGCTCTCTCCAGCCATTAGTTGTCAATAGGGGTGGGGCTTCTGGTCACCTTCCTCCTCTATGCTTGCTTTGTGTCTGACTTGGGCTTTCACAGGACTTGTGCATGCTGTCACAAGTACAACACAAAGACCCACAAATGCAGAGTGCTCAGCCCTAAATGGGACACCTACATCATACCCTCTTCTCCCAAGATTCAGGGATCATTGGGGAAGAGGGGGTAGAAGGATTTTAAGGGCCAGCGGTGGTGGATGACCGCAAGGAAAGCATGTTATCCAGACACAACAGGGAAGTTGCACACATGATCCTTATATAGAATTTTTAGAAAAATACAATCTCTTAGCTAACTCTTAGGACATCTTTTATAATGTTATTTAAAATGATTATATTAAAAGTGATTTATGGGCTGGAAATGGCTCAGTGGTAAAGAGTGCTAGCTGTTCTTACAGAGGACCTGAGTTCAGTTCCCAGCACCCATATGGGGCAGCTCACAACAGCCTCTAATTCCAGCTCCAGGAGACACAGCACCCTCTTTGAGCCGCCACAGGCACCTGAACTTGGGTGGCACACACCCCGCACAGACACACACACATACACTTGAATAAAAATAAATCTTTTATTAAATTTTTGTGATTTTCATATAATATATTTTGCTGGTATTTAGATCCCCTCCCCCCATGGCCCCCTGCCCAATTTAATGTTCTCTCTCTCTCTCTCTCTCTCTCTCTCTCTCTCTCTCTCCATATATATATATATGTATGTGTGTGTGTGTGTGTGTGTGTCATATATATGACCTATAGAGTCTGAGTGATTTTATGAGATGACTAGATGGATAAAGAATAGGAAAAGATGGGTAAGCACATATTAGGCAGATGGATGAATAGATGAAGGGACCACAGGCCACTGCTGGGGAGATGGTTCAGCAAGTCAGAGCACTTGCTGTGTAAGCAGGAGGGCCTGAGTTCAAATCCCCAGAACCCACATGGAAATTTAGGCAAAACACATAGAGAATAAGAGGCTACAGCCTGCTCATCCCTGAATAGGACACCTCGATCAAACTTCTGCCTCCCAAGCTCAGGAATCAGTGCACAAGAGGGAGCTGAAAGGCTGTAAGAGCCGGAGGCACAAGGAAACGGAGTCTTCCGGACAGCTGGTCAGCTTTTCAGATGAACTCAGAGCAATGTTGACAGCGTGGACAAGTCCCACCTAAGCTCAAGGCAGATAAATCCCAGCATAGACATGGGGAAGTGGGTAAGAAACCCCAACCTTACCTCAATCAGTATTGGTGACCAATGGCTGCTGCGAGGGGAAGAGTTAGTCTCATGTAAGGCTGAGATTCTTGATGGGTTGCCCACCAGACTCCAGTGAATGAACCCACACCAAAGGGCATTTGGGGACACAAATTTGTCTCTATAGGTGCATATATATATAATGTAATATATAGATGAAATTGGGTGGGGAGGCTAGTAGGGGTGTGGAGATAGGGAGAGGATCTAAATATGTTCAAAATATATTGTATGAAATTAGCAAAAATTCAATTTAAAAAAGAGTCTAAAAAGTTAGTCATGGTCAGGGCTGAAGAGATGGCTCAGCGGTTAAGAGCACTGGCTGCACTTGCAAAGGACCCACGTTCAATTCCCAGCACCCACATGGCAGCTACAAACCATCCTTAACTCCAGTTCCAGGGGATCTGACACCCTCTTCTAACCTCCGCAGCATTGCATGACATGGGTGCACTCACATACATGCAGGCAATACATTCATACACATAAAATGAAAATAATAAATTAAAAAAAAAGTCATGGCCATGCACACCTGTTACCCCAGAGCTGTGAGAACGTGGGGAGATCTCCAGGGCTTGCTGACTAGTTCAGGGAGGGACCTTGTCTCAGGGACTAAGGCAGAAGAGTGACAGACACCTGATATGCTTGTCTGGCCTTCTCCGGTGCGTGCACCTGCACACATATTTGTGCATAAACCACACAGAGAGAGAGAGAGAGAGAGAGAGAGAGAGAGAGAGAGAGAGAGAGAGAGAAGTAAATGAAAACTACGAGGTAACAGGAAAAGAGGAAGGATGTAAGGAAGAGACCACTCATGTTCTCCCGCCTCCTGTAGCCTGGAAGGGCTCGGCTTTACAACAGAGTTTTCACATTTTAATACGCACAGAATCATCTGGGGTTCTTGTTAAGATTGTTAAGATACAGGGTCTGATTCATGCTGTGATGATGTGTTCTGTTTGTAACTACCTCCTCCTGCAGGATGCCCAGTACAAGATAAGTTTTCCTCCTGTCCTCTCAAATTCTCGATGATGCATCCAGAGTTCTGCTTGGTAATGGGCATTTTCTATTCCACTTAGGTTCACTGTAAAGGTCACCTTCTTATATTCTCAGCCAAGATAAAGAACAGCCATGGCTCTAGCCTGAATCTCAAGTGTCCTTCCAAAGCCCATGTGCTTAGTTAGCTTAGTGCTATTGGGAGATGCTGAAACCCTTAGGGCTTGGAGGGAGGTTTTAGGCCTATCCTGGAAGGGGATTGTTGGAGGTTGATCTCATCCCATGCCTTTCATTCTTGGCCAAAAAGTGAGTGGGCCTTTTCTGCAACATGGTCACATCATCATGCACTATCTCATCACAGGACAAAGGCAACAAGGCCCACAAACCATGGACTAACACCTCCAACACTGTGACCCAATATTAACCTTTCCTCTCTATCAACTGATTATGTCAGCTCATTTGTCATAGTAATAGATGACTCCACAATGACATATATTTTTATACAATCCCAAAGGAAAGCCCTTTAAGTTCTCCTGCCTGGCTCAATCCCACCCTCATCTATATAGGGAAAAGAGGGACAGGAAGGGAGACTCCAGGCAAAATAAATGAACTTATTAAAAGGAACCACCAAGAGAGCTCTATGGACACTTACCTCGATGAATAACGGATAGCTTACTATGTAAATGTTCTAAGGCTTTTACAATCTGCAAGAGAAACACAAAGTAGATTTATGGACTCCAATAAGAGAAAGAGATTGAATGTTGAGTATATCCAGGATTATTATCCCTGGCTTAAGGTTACTGAATGAGCTGCTTCCTCAAATAGTAGTGGTCCTATCCAGGAAGTCACCCACTTGGGGCTTTTCCCACCAGAGAAGACACTACCTTGTAGTGGTAGAGCCTTATTCATCTCTCAAGCATTTGTTTGTTTGTTTGTTTCCCCACCCTCCTGAGCCTCAATAGTCAATAAGGTAGCAGTCTTTTCTTTTCCTTGTGATCCCTTTTATTCCTTGGTATTGAAAAAAAAAAAAATTTAAAACTCTACAAATGAAAACTTGAACCAAAGTGTACCTATCAGAATACAGACATAGAGATGGATGTCCCAAAAGATAGATGTAATTTGGAAGCGGTGACAATGAGCTTTAATCATCAACTTCACATAATCTAGAATCTCCTGGAAAGAAAGTCTCAATGAAGGACTGTCTAGGTCAGGCTGGCCTATGGGCATGTCTGCTGGGGGACTATCTTGATTATGTTACTTGAGGTGGGAAGGCCTGCCCACTCTGGGTGGTGCTATTCCCTAGGCAGGGGCTTCTGGACTGTCTGAGAGTAAAGAAAGCAAGCTGCATGCTCTCATGAATTACCCTGTGGTCTTTGCTGTGGATGTGAGGAACCAGCTGCTTTAAGTTCCTGATGCCTTGAAGTCCCTGTAATGTTGGGATATGGCCCGGAACTGAAAGTCACAAAAATCCTTTCTCCCTTAGGTTATTTATTCAGGGTATTTTATCAGAGCAACAGGAAATAAAATGAAGATAGAGACCTTTACTAAGGTTTACCAACCAAGTCAGTGGCCTATCTACTGCACAGGGACTGGGAAAAAAAGCATTTATTTCTTCTTATGCTAATATATTCAGCATTCAACAGACGTATTGGATGTACTGAATGGTAGTTTACTCAAAGCCTAGATTTCCCCCATCCTCCTTAAATAGGGTTTATGGTATACTCACAGAAACGGCTATCTTCCCTAAGATATCCTCTGGAATTGTTTGGCCTTTATCAATAACTTGTTTGTAGAATTTATCTAGTGACGTATCCATAAGCTCCATGCAGATCCACACATCACCCTGGAGACCAAGAAGTTCAGGAACTGTCAGAATATGGAAAAGGAAGAAAGGAAGGAACAGGTAACAGTTCTCCTGAAGGACTAGTTCTTGCTTGCATTTTTGGAAGAAAGGGACATTTTCCCTTTGACATCTCGAGGTAATTTACAAGCAAGCAAGACCATCTCCCAAGAGCAGCCCAGCAGACAGCAGTGGGACTGGAAGACTAGAGACCCTTAAGTGTCTGTTCTTGGACGCTGAAGGATCACCTACCTCCCGAAACAGTGCGCCATAGAAGGTGACAGTAAACGGACAGTCCACTGTCCGCATGGAAACATCCAAATCCATCAGTAGCCGTTTCTGCTCCTGGCTATTGACCGTGGCCCGGATCCGCTGAATGGGAACATGTGGGAAATAGATGGTAACTGCTCTGATGAGACCATTTTAAAAACAGAGACCCTTGGGCTGGAGAGATGGTTCAAGTACTGCTTTTGCAGAGGACCTGAGCTAGGTTCCCAACACTTATGTCAGGCAGATCAGAACTGCCTGTAACTCCCTCCAGCTCCAGGAGCTCTGACACTTCTGCCCTCCTTACACATCTGTACTCACATGCACACACACCCCCACACAGCACACACATATACATAATTAGGAAACAAAATAAACCTTTTAAAAAAGCAGGGCTCCTACAGAGCAGCATCCTAACAAAATTCACATTATTGACAGCAAACTTCCTCACAGCATCCCTAAGGGTTAACTATTTGTAATGAATGAAAAGTAAGGAAGATGCTTAGGTATTTGTTTTCCTGACTAGACCCTGTTTAAAGTGAACCCCTAGTGTACTTCAGAGCGAGCAGCCATGCGCAAAGGCACTTCTGAGTTGCAAACACAATCTGCTTTATTGTTTGTGTCTGTTCAATGCAAAATGGTGATAATATTCGTGATTTCTGTTAATTTGAGGCCCCAAGGTAAAAAAAAAATAAAATAAAAGGGAAAAAAAGCCACTTTGGAGACAGCTTCAGTCAGCCTTCCTGTGCCTGAGGAATTCATTCTAGGATTAATTTGGGTAACAAAAGCCACAGATGCTCATGTCTCATAATTTAAAACAGTGTCATTGGGCATATATCTTCCTATGTACTAAAATTGCCTTTAGATGACTCATAATGTCTAACATAACATAAATACTAAGTAATGGTTGATGTGCTGTTTTGTTTAGAAAATAATGAAAAGAAGAAGCCTGTATACATTTGGTGCCATTATTTTTCCAAAATTTTGATCCATGGTTGATTGATCCACGAATGCAGATTCCAGGAATACAGAAAAGTGACTGTATTTGGAATAAACAGCAACTGTAAGAGACTCGGTTAGAACTTAGAAAACAGAAACAGAGACACCACCCGCTTCTATCCGGTACTTCTGAGAAGAAAATCCCGTCACCTCAGCAAACGGAGCCTTCCAGAAATGTGAGAAGCCACTCGATGACAGAACACAGTGGCACTAGGCCTTCATGCATTTTTCCTATTTGACAGTCATCAGAATAGACTGGATCATCTGCAAGCTAAGCGGATGAGACTCCATTCTACCAGAGTAAAGGAGTGTGCATCTCCAGCCAGTCCTTACTGAGGTCCAGCCTTTCTAACCTCTCCAGAGAAGTCAACTGCCTAAGATGGTCCCTGCATCTGTTTAAGACACACAGGCAGTACGGGCTGGGGAGATGGCTCAGCAGCTAAGAGCATTTCCTGCCCTTGCGGAGGCCCAAGGTCCTAGGATCTACGTGGTGGATAACAACTGCCTGTATTTCCAGTTCAAGAGGATTTGACACTCTCTTTTGACCTCTGCAAGCACTTCACGCATGTGGTGCACCTACATAAATGCAAGCAAAATAACTCATACACATAAAATAAAAATAAAATCTTTAAAAAACCAGATATGCAGGCAGATTCCAAACTTTTGCCCATAGCGCATATACCATCAACTCTAGATACATTTTGCTCTCCTTTTCCACAAATGGAGAAAATGTTTTCTCTCAAGTTTGGTTTCTTGATTTTCAAGGACAGTTCTTTAAAAAGCAACATAGGGGGCTGGAGAGATGGCTCAGCAGTTAAGACCACTGGCTGCAGAGGACCCAAATTCAATTCCCAGCACCTACATGGTGGGTAACAGCTGTCCATAACTAGTTCCAGGAGAATTTGATGCTTCTTCTGACCTCCTCAGGCATTGCATGACATGTGTGCACTTACATACCTTCAGGCAATACACTCATATATATAAAATAAACACAATAAATATTAAAATAATAACAATAAAAAGCAATATAATGCATAATTAAAGAGGTCTTTGTTTAGATGCTGATTTGATAAAAAACAAAAGAATAGCAACACTTTGAGATAATTAAGGAAACTTTAATTTGGACCTGGGATTAAATGAGGTCTTTAAAGTATCATTAAGTGTTTTAAATGTAATTAGTGACATGGTAGTTCCATCAAAAGATTAAAAATTAGAACTAGGGAGATGGCTCAGCATCTAAGAGCACTTGCTGCTCTTGAAGGCCTGTAGTTCGGTTTCCAGCATCCATTTTAGCTAGCTCACAGCCATCTGTAATTCCAGGTCCAGGGAACTGATGCCCTCTTCTGACCTCTGAGGGGACCTGCATGCATAGACATACACACAGACACAGACACAGACACAGACAGACAGACAGACACACACACACACACACACACACATTTTCTTTACTCTTTAAAAAATTAAAAATGGGGAAATAGAGAAGACTTAGAAAATAAAAAGTAGACACAATACATCCTGAGAAAGCTTCTTCCTCACAGAGAGAAATAGTGTTCCATACAAAGAATATTTATTTTTTATTCTTTGAAGACTATTTTGCTACTGTGAAAAGGACCAGTTCACATCTCAGATGGACAGATGCAGGAAATGAAAATATAAAACACTTCAGGGACCGTCGACTCTACCTTCACCGCCATGATCTGCCCACTGGGCACGTGCCGCATCTTCTCCACCACTCCGTACGCCCCTCGTCCCAACTCCACTATAGGCTCCAAGTCATCTGCCTTCACCTCGAAGTTCTGTAAGAGGGAAAGTTAGTCAGGTAAGAGGAAAGTGAAAACTACCCTGGGTACCAAGTATGTTATCCTTCGGTTTCTCCCAATATCTTAAACTTGTGATTGGGTCACAACTTTTCCTAGCACATCATGATGCCTCTAAAGCAACAAGCCAGGGAAGCATGGGCTCCCAGGATCGACTACCTGCATGTCCACAAAAGACCCAACTCCATCTAACTCAGCTTTCAAACGCACAGCTAAGGCTATCTACACTGCAGTTCTTATAGCTCTAACACTGACTAATGGCAACGAGATATGTATGGCTTTGAGAAACACCCTCACAAGAGATCCATCTTCTCCCTGAAAAGGTCTTTCCTTAGAACCACAATAGCCTGATTTCAATTTTCAATTCAAAATAGCAAAAGTACCATGAGTCAGTTCTCTTTAAAGTCAAAACCTTTTTTGGTCCATCCCCTGACATCCCGCTACAGGAAATAAAATTTTCAGTGTTCAGTTGGGAATGCTGATATATGATGTGGTCAAAGTATCAATCAGTAATTGTGACTTTTCTCACCTGATTTCCAATAGAAATACAAGCCTTGGAATCTAAGTCTCGAGGTGGCCTAGGAAGGATAAGGGAGAAAAGAAGAAAAATGAGATATTTAGCCAGCTATGTCCTCCCCGAATCATGCAGCCAGGGAGATTTGTCCTCAGGAAGCGGGTGCAAGTTCATGAATAAAGTAAAACAGCCTGACATTGGGAACAGGATGGAACTTGGAAAATGCATTTGGGTTTCAATCACCTCATGTCCTTGAGCATCTACGTCTTCTTTAGCACGGAGACATTGCTACGCGTACCTTGTGCGGCAGGAATGAGTACCAAATGACATATTTCAAGTAAAATCCTACAATAAATATTCAGTAACTAGGAACTGAATGTATCACATAGACCACAGCTTCCTAAACTGTGGGTGGCATCCTCGTGTCATACAACTGTGGTGGCTGTGGAAATATGGCAATAGTAAAAGGTTTCTGAACACACAGTAAAAATTAATTCAGAATCAAACACGTAATGACTCTGAGGTGTTTCCAGCATCACTCACCTGTGTTGCATGGAATAACTTCACTGCAGCCTTGGTTCTGAACACAAAATATGTACACTCTTTACTGCGTGCGCTGTCACGCACCACGGAACATGGATGAACACTGCCTGAGACACGTTGGCTCAGATTCCAGACAATGATAGTATTAACTGCAGTGTTTTCACTGGATACACAAACCTTTCTGATTTTTTTAGAAACATAATGGTTTGTGGTGGGAAATAAAGACTTTAATATTGTCCTACTGTTAGTGTTTAAGTATCAAATTAGTATCTTTTTATTATACGGTATGGTATTACAATATTTAATTTTAAAGCTTGCTGAGTTGCTGAGTTGTGTTTCATAAAACAGTTGTTAAATATATTAGACTTGAAACTAGTACAGAATCTCCAACACTTTCTGAAATGGCCCTAAACTTACTACTGCTATTTTGTACTACATATTTATGCTAAGTGGCATTCTCAGCACTGATAATTACAAGATCAAAGCATCAACTCTGAAAAAATGTTGAAGATGTGCTACATCCTACCATATCAATTATTCAGCCAAGATTTAATTGTTTATGGAAAAATAAATGAGCATCATCTATCTCATCAGCATGCAAATTTATTTTTGTCTTTCATGAATAATAAAATTCTATGTGTGTCAAAGAATTATTTTAAAATAAATATATATTTATCATTTTTAACAGTAACTCTTCAGTTTGTTGTCCTCTCTGCTTGGAGTCACATAAAAACTGTTGGAAGACTGCAGACAGGGTTCAACAGTTAAAAGCACTTGCTGTTCTTTCAGAGGACCCACATTCAGTCCCCAGGCTCCATATTAGGAGACTCACAACTTCTGGCCTCCACAGCCACCTCACATGTACAAACCTATACATAGACACACACACACACATACATACAATTAAAAATGAAATAAGTCTTTAATAATTGTTGGGCAAAGGCTGGGTATGGTGGTACACACCTTTAATCCCAGAACTCAGGAGGCACAGGCATGTGGATTTCTGTGTTCAAGGCCAGCCTGGTCTACATAGTAAGTTTTAGGGTAGCCAGGGCTACATAGTAACAACCTGTCTCAAAAAAAAATGTTAGGCAAAAAGGGGTCACGAGTGGGAAAAGTTTAAGAATTGATGCTATAGTGATAAGCTTCAAACTTGCCCTTTCATTCAAAAGCACCAATATAGTCAATTATTTCATCACCTTTCCAACAACTGATCTTTCAAAATAGAAACAACTGGCATATGGTCCTGCTTACTCACCAAATGAATAGAACACAGGGACTCCAGGGGACTCCAAAATACTATAGTACTCTCTGCCTGGTTGGATGAACAAAGGTCTTAAGGAGGTGGTCACAAAGAACTCAGGTCTCCTGATTTCCATCTCAAGATTCTTTTGGTTCCACCAGACCATCACATCCGGCAACATTTCCTCTCTATTTTGAGAACAGTCTATGAGGAGTCATGGTAGGACCCTGAGGTTTGCTGACTGTGTCTCCACCGTGAGCTCTGGTTTCTCTAACCCCACTGTTCTCAGTCAGTAGCAGTCTACTGAAGAAAAGATGTTTGGCTTTGGCTGTGCACCTAACCAGGAGCTGAAAAAGGCACTTTCTTGAAATAATTGCTCCAAAAGTCTGGAGGCAAAATGAAGACATGCCAAGAAATAGAGTTAACATGAGAGAGTGAATGTAACAGGTAGAGGATGAAGCCAACGGGCCCTGGACCACCTTTACCAAGAGCAAACTGCTTAGCAACTCCAGTCTCCTAGGATGCACATTCTTGCCAGAACTGTGTGCCAGACAAAATAAAGGGAAATAGAGGAGGAGAGAACGAAGTGAACATGGAGGAAAGAGTCCAGCTAATGACCCTCCCCACCCTAATGAGTTATTTTTCTTTCCCTTCTGATAAAACCAAATGTGTATTGATAAGAACAAAGTAGGAATATAAACACAGATATGAGTATCAATCTAAGACTCTCATGGCATGCCTTGCTCACTTCAAAATCTCCTCAATTTGCACAGGACACTGAAAGAGTTTCTAGTCTAACCTCAAACTGGATATTGGGAGGGAGAGAAAATAAAACAAAATGAGACCGTTGTGCACACATACGTCACGAAGCTGGAGTGTATACTGTGTTTCTGAGCAGGCAATTTTCCTTCAGAAAAGCTTTCCTCCCATAGCCAACATCATACTAAATGGGGAAAAATGGAAAGTATTCCCATTAAAATCAGGAACAAGACAAGAACGTCCACTCTCTCCATTCCTGTTCAATACAGTACTTGAGGTATTAGCTAGAGCAGTAAGACAAATGATAGAGATAAAGGGAATACAAATTGGAAAGAAGTCAAATTATTTTTATTAGCAGACGATAAGATTCTATACATAAAGAATCCTAAAGACTCCACCAGAAAACTTCTAGAGCTGATAAATACATTCAGCAAAGTAGCAGGGTATAAAATCAACCCAAAATCAGTAACTTTCCTACACACCAACAACAAACATACTGAGAAAGAAATCAGGAAATGATTCCAATCCCAATAGCCTCAAAATCCATAAAATATCTTGGAATAAATCTAACAAAGAATGTGAAGGACCTGTACAATAAAAGCTTTAATACACTGAAGAAAGAAATTGAAGAAGACACCCAAAGTTGAAAAGAACGTCCATGCTCATGGATCAGTAGGATTAATATTGTGAAAATGGTCATCCTACCAAAAGCAATCTACAAATTCAATGCCATACCATTTAAATTCCAACACAATTCTTCACAAAAAAAAAATTGAAAAAAAAAATCTTAACACAAAAATCCCAGGATATCTAAAACAATCCTGAACAATAAAAGAACTATTGGAGCCATTACCATCCTTGATCTCAAATTATACTACAGAACTATGGTAATGAAAACATCATGGTACTGGCATAGAAACAGAAACATTCATCAGTGGAATAGAACTGACAACCAAGACTTAAATCCACACATTTATAACCATCTAATTTTGGACAAAGGGGTCAAAAATACAGACTGGAGAACAGACAGTACGTTCAATGGACAGCGCGGGCCAGACTGGGTAGACGCATGTAGAAGAATGAAACTAGATCCGTAACTCTCACAATACAAAGACCTCAACTCTAAATGGATCAAGGACCTCAACATATGACCAAATACCCTGAATCACATAGAGGAGAAAGTGGGAAATACATTGGAACCTGTAGGCACAGGAAAGGACTTTCTGCACAGGACTTCTCTACCGCAAGCATTAGGTCCAACAATTAGCAAAGGGACCATAGAAACTTAAAGGCTTCTGTACACCACCAACTTTCGAGTGAAGAGTCAACCTACATGATGGGGGGGGGGTCTTTACCAGCTATACCTCTGACAGAGGATTAGTATCTAGAATATACAAAGAATTCAAAAAAATTAAACATTAAAAAAAATTAAAAATAGGATGGGGAACAGAAGAGGAGTTCTCTAAAAATGAAATATAAATGGCTGAGAATGCTTTTTTAAATGCTCAATGTCTTTACTCATCAGGGAAAAGCAGATTAAAACCGCTTTAAGATCTCATCTTATGTAACTCCCAGAAGGCAAAGATCCAAATAACAAATGACAACAAACACTGCCGAGGATGTGGAGAAAAGGAAACTCTTATCCACTGTTGGTGGGAGTGAAAACTAGTACGGTCATTATGGAAATCAGTGTGGAGATTCCTCGAAAGGCTTGAAATTGATTTAATATATGGCCCAGCCATACCACTCCTGGGCATATAGCCAAAAGGCTCTATACCCTACTACTGAAATACCTGTTCATCCATATTCATTGCTTCCCTTTTCATAACGGCCAGAAATTGGAAACAACCTAGATGTCCATTAGATGATGAATGGATAATGAAGGTGTGGTCCATATACACAGTGGAATACTTGTCAGCTCTTTAAAAAGATGAAATTCGCAGGTATGTGAACAGAACTAGAAGCACTCATCCTGAGTGAGATAACTCAGACTTTGAAAGACAATGGCACATGTTCTCTCTCATAGCTGGATACTAGCTTTAAAATCTTAGATATGCATGCTTCAATTTGAAAATTCTAAGAGGTCAAAAAATATAATAAATAACCACAGGTGAGGAGCAGGCTTCTTCAGAAGAGGTGGTAGAATGCAATGACACAAAGGGGAAAAGGGACTGTTAAGGGAGGATGGGTTAAATGGGGTAGGGAATGGGAGGGCAGGACAGAAGAGAGAGTAAGGGGGAGGATAAGTAACACTAGAGGCCTTTAGGAAAAGTCATATGGAAACCTACCACTACAGAAGCTTCTTAAAGTGTAGATAGTAAAAAGAGACAGAAAAGAGTCACCCAATAACAGGTGGTCACTACTTCTTCTAGGCAACATAGGTTAACAAAATAAAACCTCAATGCCAAGAATGGACTCCTTCTCTAGAAGCTGTTGACCAGGGATCCCATAGACCCTCAAACAATACTGGCCATTGCCCCTAATCATGGTAACCCACAAGAACTGGATGGTAAGACAGT